GCATGAGTCGTAGACTGTAATACAGTCGAAGAAACATATAATATAGAATATATAAAATATAATATATAGTATATAATATATAATATATAGTATATAATATATAATATATATTACAAGATCAGTCGAAGAAGCAATATAACAGCCTTGACAAAACCCCGCGGGAAAATTACCGTATTGGACGGTCGTGTACACCGCTGCCAGGCATCAGCACGCTGGCCAGCTCTGTGAAAAGCAAACCAACGCCTCGCAGTAGCAAGAGATCGGACGAGTTGACTGTGACAGTAGTGGAGAAGCAAGGATATCTTCAGGAGAAGCCCAACTGCGGTACCAAATAGAGGCCTCAATAACTAGAATTGTTTTGGGGTTTATTCAACTAATTATAGATACAGCCAGGAACCCACAATAACATGTCGGCCCCGTCTTCCTTATACACCCTTTAGAATGGAAAGCTACTTTCCAAGTCCCCGACTGTTTGAAACCACGGGATACTTCTTGGATGTTCATTGGTAGTTCTATGTGTGCTTATAAGTACCATGGTCATAAACATAGTTATAACCCTTATTCGGAGAGCTACTGTAGCCATGGCGGTTCTCATAGCAAACCGAAAGACAAACGTTTCCTTTTCACATGCACGACCGTTCTCTAGCAAAACAAGTTGTGAATGTGCACACGAATCAAAGTAACAGCAACCAGAAAGAAAATAGCACGGGATGGCAACACTACTACGACTGATGGCTATTACCGCCCTAAGTTCCCAGCAGGCCCTACAGCCTGGAGGCACTACCACCGGAGCAGCCCCAAGCCCTGAACTGTGCAGCCTGAAAGCTAAGTGCTCAGGCTCTCACTGTATATCTTAACATCTAGAGTATATCATAGCTAATTTATATAATACCATAGCTAATTTATATAATACCATAGCTAATTTATATAATACCATAGCTAATTTAAAGTCTAATGCAATGCCCGGGCAGACCGTGTCAAGCCGCATTTACACAACCTTCCGTCTCCTGGCTCGACCAAAACTAAACCCCGGAGCTCCACATGAAGGCCAGCGCTATCAGCTGTTCTTCAAAGTTCAGACACGAGTTTAGAGGTTGGGGTTGTGGTTTAGGCCCAAAAAGCCCAGGCGTAGCTGAGGGCGTCACTGTGAGCTATCAGTGCACGCAGGCCATCTTCCATCGGGTCTTGTGATTCTGCTGCACGAGCCTAAAACCCTGAATTCCTAGAGACCAAACTCTCAACCTCAATGCCCAAGTCCCGGAGGATTAAAACCCCCAAGCCCCAACCATGTGAACGGCCCTCCCAGTCGAACTGGGTCGGGTTTCAGTTCACCCCGCTCTCGGGACCCGGCTGAAGATCATGAGGTAGAGAAAAAAAAGGTCCCAGATTTGTGGGCGGCGGTCTGACAGCAAGCAAGGAGACATGCTGGTAATGCAAACGCCCCAATAATTAGAACAGGGTTTTGGGGTATATTCTACTACAAATAGAATAAAAGACTCCCCCCCAAACAAAAAAAAAGAACTAATATGGGTAGTCATTTAGGCTCCGAAAGTAGGGTTGCAAGACTGTTCAGGCGCCTTCCCCACGACAAGCGATCCTCCTTCTCGCGGTCGCCGCCATCATTATCATCATCGGCATTCGTTTCGTCATCACGGTTTAGGGTTTAGGGTTTAGGATGATGGTCATCGTCACTACCTTAATCACCTTCATTGACTTCGTCATCGTCACAATGCTCACTATCAACATCATGAACGTCATCGTCTCATGACCACCATCATCATCACCATGGCATCCCATGGCATGGCCGCCAGAAGCACAATCACATCACGTAGATTTACGTAAATTCGTTGGCATGTTTCACCAGAAACGCGAGCATGCACAGGGATAGCATCGACACCGTCATGCTCAGTGGTTTGCACGATGAAAAGAGCTGAAACATCATTGAAGACTGAAATCTGCAAATCGGACCTCTCACGACAATGTCGTGGTTCTAAAGAGTTTAGGGCTTTGCCGGGTTTATGGACAAGAGTAATTCTCTAAATTAGGGTCCCTTTTGGGGTCCTTTTGATAAGGGTGCGGTACTCTGGGGCCCACCTAAACAGGGACCCTAATTTAGAGAACTAGCCATTTCGTACCCATATATAAACCCTATATAGAAACCCTTCTAGATCCCTTTAAGGAACCCTTTAAAGGGACTTTAATTTAGAGAACTACCCACAAGGGCTCGGAGAGCTTTAGGTTTAGGGTTTATGGGGTTTAGGGCTTAGGGTTTATGGGGTTTATAGTCCTCACCCCAACCCTCTCATTCATGTAATGCAGGGGCGTTACTAAGTAGAATAGGGTTTTGGGGGTATATTAAACCTCCGGCCTGTTGTAGCTTGTGCCGATCGCGCAGAGCTGCGTCAGCCGGATCTACCGGCATCTCCATCTCCATCTCCGGGGCAAGCTTGGGATGAAAACCCAAAGCAACAAAAACCTTAAAGTGCCCTAAAGCGTCCGCATCAGGGCCTGCGCAAGCCGCCATGAACATGTCAGCTACTGAGGCCCCCGAAACTCAAAAAAAAAACACGTTTGGCTGAGATCTGGTCTGGTGAGCTTCCTACAGGGTAGCCAATCAGTCTCGGGCTCTAGGTCTGGAATTTTTGGGCTTAGGGATAAGGGATCCGGGGTGTGAGATTCCACATCGAGCCGTCGGAAGCTGCAAAAGGCGAGCATTATGCCACAGGCTCTCCAAAATGAAATGTGGGCAGTACGGGTTTAGGGTTTAGGGGAATATAGGTAGTACGGGTTTAGGGTTCACGGTTCCACATTTGCACTTCAGACCTTCGAGGTCAGGATGTAGGGTGGGTTCAAGATTTCTCTGGCAAAGCTTCGGGTTCGGGGCATGGGGGCTTCGGATCTCAGGCTAGGGCTTAGGGTTTAGGGCTTAGGGTTCAGGGTTTAGGGTTTAGGGTTCAGGGTTTAGGGTTCAGGGTTTAGGGTTTGCTTAGGCTTAGGTTTAGGGCTTGACAGCTCCAAAGCTCAGCCATCCTTTCAGACTTCAGGTCCTCGACGTGTCCTAGCCCCCACCAACACTGCTCCTAAAGCCTAGGCTCTTATAAACCACGGTGGCCAAACATCCCAGGTCGGGTTTCCGTCTTCGCTCTGGCATGGATCCTTGGGCCTCTGGGGATTGGGCGGTTGCTTCTGTGTCTTCTGCGATCACGCTGCGCTCAGGACAACAGCTGGCTGTTTCCGTCGCATTGCCTCTTGATTGCGCAAAGGGCTTACGGGAGGCGGAGGGTGTAAGGCAGGCTTTTAACGGAGGTGCAATACCTTGCAGCCTTACGAGACAACAACGAGGGTATCGCAGCCAAGGTAGGGGTTTAGGGTTTATAGGGTTTACCTATAGTCTCCATTGTAGTTCCTTTTTTGGTTTAACCAATTCTATATTAAGGATCTTAAAAGGCAACCCCAAAAAGGAACTACAAAGGAGACTATAGGTAGGATTGCCAAGTGTCAGCGTAAACTTGCTATTCCCTCGCAGCAAGGCTTGTTCTCCTCGGAAGCTCGTGCTCGGGGTACGAAGGACAGAGACAGATCTTGTGTCTGCAGCGACGTTAACCTATGACCCTATACCCTCTGCAAGCCCTATGTAAACCCGAGCTAGGCCCCAGATAAACCTTGTCTGAGCCCTGAGCAAAACCCTGTCCAAACCTTGCATGAGCCTTATATAGCCCAACATTGCAAATGACTTCCATGACATGAGAGAAGCTCGTCACTCTTCGACAAGCTCCCCTGCATCTCCATCCAGGAATCACCTAGATTTAGGTTTGAGGGGGCTAGGGTTTAAGGGCATCTAAAGTCATGTGTTAGGGCTTTCGGGGTCAGTTCCACCTAAGTCTTATGATCTAAGGGTCTCTAGGGTTCAGGGATTCAGGCTGGAGAGTTGCAGTGTGGGCTTTCGAGATCTTCGGGGCTGCTATGCCCAGACGTGAGCACCGATCCCTGAAGCGCACTCTACAAGCAGAGCATAGCGGGAGCTAAGCTTCTCCCTTCCCAGAGACTGGAGCTTTCGGGCTTCGGGTTCAACGTGGGGACCTTAATAATTAGACTAGGGTTTTGGGGGGAGTTCCTTATTGAAACTATAGTCTACCATATCCCCCAACCCTATTCTAATCATTACTGCCCCTATGTTAATAGAATTCCTTTGCTCAGCATCTCTCCTACTATGAAGCCTTGTTGCAGCTGATGGACTACATAGCCCTAAACCGTAAAAAGCGGGCACCGTAGTCTCTGGGTTCACTCGGTCGCCGTCGCCCCTGTTGCGCAGCTTTTGTTCTGACTGGGGGAAGAGTCCCCCCCGTCACGCGCCAGTCGTCTGCCTCGCAGTGGATGGGTTTAGGGTTTACGGTTTAGGGCTTAGGGTTTAGGGTTTGGAGTGTAGGGTTTAGGGTTGTTTGGTGTCCCTAAACCCTAAACCCCTAAATCCTAAACCCTGGTTTCGGGTTCAGTTATGGCTCAGGGCCTAGGGCCGGACCCGACCTAGACGCCGAACCCGGCAACCCTCCCTAGGAGAACCTGTTCACCTAGAATGACCTATACTGTATCAAGAACATGAAGTAACCATGAAGTGTACTAGGATCGAGCCGGCCCAATAGTTAAGAGCCTGAGACAAAGCAACATCAGCGGTTTCCTTCAGAGTCTTGCGATTCGGGGGTTTGAGCTTTAAAAGCGGGCCCGAACAGGGCCCGACCCAACAGATCTACCAGCGGGTAACCGGAAGCCTAGGGTCCGGCAAGCGAAGAAGCTTGTAAAGGGCTCAGAGACTGTTGGGTGTCAGGCGGCTTCCGGGGAAAGGGGTTGGGGCAGGGGCTCTTAATTAGAGGATTCAAGAGTGTTGGGGTTTCGGGCTTTCGAGATGCTTTAAAAGCATTCAGAGGCGCGACCCTTCTTTTCAGACTATGCAGTTTGCAACCTCCCCTGGCAAGGCTAGGGCCGAGTGGAGGTCAGAGGTGGCGTCACTTGATGAGGTTCTTGGGACCGGCGGTCTTGAAGGCCTCGACCCAGTTGATAGCCCAGAAGTCTGAGCACAGGAGCGGATGCAGTATGTAGTGGTAAGGCATGTAGAAGTAGCCCTTGTCACCCCACCTGAAGTTGGCACAGGGCTGGGGAGCTCCAGCTAGGTGACAGCTTGTGGACTACCTGCCCTAGTCTGTGAGACTACTCGTGCTTTCGGATGTAATTCTACAAGGCTTGGCAGCACGGACTTCTAGACAGGAGGCTCTGCACCCCAGGAGTTGCGGACGATGAAGCACTGCTGGAAGTCGTCGTAGCCCACAGCGCACACAGCGTGGCCGCCCAGCTGCTTTTCGTGCGGTTGGGGCATCACCATCTTCCCGGTTCGGGCTACCTCTGCTGTCTGGAAGCTTGAGAGGACGGCAAAGCCGAAGACAAAAGGGTAGCCACTCTTAATGCACATCTTCAGCTGGTCTAGCGTCTGCTTAACACGGGCATAGCCCATAACCTTGCACTTCGCTGCGATCTCGTATGCCTTGGAATCCGGCTGCTGCTTGAAGAAGTCGGGGCCGTCGTCGTACTTCCAAACACTCTCGGGGCAAACGCCCAGCTTGGCCATGGTCTTGATGCCATCGCGGATCATCGCCCCAGCATCCCGGTTCACGCTCCCCTCCACCACGCGCTCATTGTAGTAGATGAACAGTCGGCTTGGGGTGAAGTCAGCGAAATCCTTATGGTCCTCCACCGTCATCTTGTGCAGAGTGAAGTGAAAGGCTGCTGCCAAAGCGTTTGCCGTGCAGCTGCCAAGGTTTCCCTGCTCGAAGATGGGGAAGCCACCGTTCAGGGGTCTCAGGTCAATGATCTCTTTGTCTCCTTAGCTGGCTTGACGCAGCATGTGAGAAAGCAACCAGTGTGTGTGTATATATATATATGCACATACACATATCTTAATTGTCTATCTACACATCTAAACATATATGCAGAGAGAGAGAGAGAGGTGGAGAGAGAGTGAGAGAGAGAGAGAGAGAGTCAGAAAGACATCAAGGTAAAGGATGGAAAGCCTCACCAAGATTTGGCCTTGCGTCCCTCGGTTTTCCTCTTGATATGGCTGGGCGCGCTTACCGTGTTGAAGACCATGTGGTGATCACGATGGTCCGGCAAGTCCGGGTGCCACCCGAACTTCACGTTTGTGCGCAGGGACAAAGACAGCAGGCTCGGATGTTTCTGCACATCTGCAGTCCGAAACTCCGTGTCGGCACTCGGGGTACTGCTGTTACAGCTGCCCATGCTTGTTGCACGCAAGGACGGGATCCAATCCAATTCGGCCCGCTACGGCACTCAGAAGGCAGACAGACTGTGCACATATCTATGTGAGAAACAAACGCACGCGTGCGGGCTTGCATCTGTGTGTATGCATGTTGTATATGTGCTTGGGAAGAACTTAGTGATGATTGCACAGTTCTTTGGCAACAAGAGCAACATTTGATCCCCATTCCCTTGCCGAGATCAGGTAAACCTAGCATCAAGCACGGCACTCCGTAGCTTCTTGATCATGTCCGGTCCCAGTAAGGGCTGTTTGCTTATATTCGTACATAAGCACCCTTTTGTTGCAGAATATGTTTGCTCAAACCTGCGTCCCCTCCTCACTGCTGCAACGACGATGAAACGACAGATGCCTGTATGATCCCTTGCGACCGGCACTGCCAGGTAATCCTAAACCGCCTAAGCCTTAAAACTAAGTCGTACGCGCTAAACCCATTCCACTAGTTCACCATACAACCGACCAAAGCTCTGTGGTCTCCGAAAGGACACCTCCAATATGGAACTATTCTGCATCTGGATCTGGATCTGCAGGCCATGAATAGAATAAGGTCTTGGGGTATGTCCATACTCAAAACTAAAGGGCTTTAGCGCCTATGCTACGAAAGCCTTTCCAGCGGCGCCGTCGGCATCACTAGACCCGATGCCTTGTCTCCTGAAGCTGTGAAGCTACTGCTCGGGACTTGAGATTTCCAAGCTTGTATTCTTGGGGGCCAGTGGTGCTGTTGCAGGTTCGGGCTTGGGGATTCATGCTCAGGCTACAGGGTTCAGTGCTAAGCTTGTTTGACTTAGACCATCTGCAGCACTTCGGATATGTGCGACATGGAAACCCTAGCCCTAAACCCCTACACCCTAAACCCCTACACCCTAAACCCCTACACCCTAAACCCTTAAACCCATATAACCCCTAAACGCTCAACCCCTAAGCTGTAAACCCTTTTAGAGTTAGTTGTGCCTCCTGGCCACGTCTTGTCGGGCTGAAGGAGTACCTGCCCAAGCCGGCCAGAACTCGCAAAGGGCTTTGGGTTTAGGGTTAGAAGGCTTAGGCTTTTGTTCTAGGGCCTTTTTCTGCAGAGCCCGAAGGCTTAGGGTTTAGGGTTTAGGGCAAAGGCCCGGCTACCTGCGTTCGCAAAGCCCACATATAAGCCCTAGAAGCCCTCATTCGCAAACTCCTGACCCCGAAAGCCTGGAATCCTATTGCGATATTGCAGAGCTTGAGGGGTTGGAGGTTGCAGAGTTTAATCCTTTCAAGGTTTGAGGCGTTTTCGAGTTTGGGGCTTTCTGCGCAGAGGGAGTTCCAACCTCGCCTGACCTTCTGCACTCGGGTGCCTCAATCACCACAAGAAATATGAAGACGCATATACCTCCAGATTTCTACTAAAGTCGTTACTAACCCAGGACGTTAAAGTTCTGTGTATTGGTATTGGAAACTACGCCCAAAGTAAGACTGGACAGCTGGCAGGACTTTGAAGGCGTGCTCGGAGGCTCACAGGCAGCCACAAATGGGGTTATCTAGGGTTGTGTCTTTTCTGTCTCTGTTTTCCTCTCTCGCTCTCTGTCCCTATTCTGCAGGGAAGCCTCTCCCGCTCTCTTTTCGGACCTTGTCTCAGGGTTTATGCAAACTCATTGACATTGTGACTGTGTTTGGGCAAAGACGCCCTGGTGGGACAATCTGTGCCATTTACCCCGATTTGGGTTTGGGCTTTGGGCTTTCCGGCCTAGGGGTAACCAGAAACTCATCGTACCCTAAACCCTAAACCCATGAACATCCCGGCCGAATCGGGGGCGGAGCACTTGCGAGGCATCGCCGAAGCCATAAAAGAGGCTCGCGTTGCTCATGGTGGACCTGGTTTAGGGGTTTAGGGCTTTGGGGTTTAAGGGCTTAGGG